CCAGAAAGATCAACCAGCTCAAACTAGCATGAAAACTGGTGTAAGCTGATAATTTTTTTCTTTCACACATACGGACTACCCTCATTTACACATGGCCTTTGCACACTCTGTGTTAATATAATTGCCCTGAATTACAAACCATGTGATGACAAAAAAAGGAGCACATTCTAAAAATGAAAGGTACTGAAGAGAAGAAGCATTTTGCAGATAAGAAGAAGAGACCTTTGATGTGCAGATAAAGAAGACAAAGCCTAAGGCTGAGTGTGTGAATGGGTCAGTCAGGGCCCTTTTTGGTAAGCTAGGTCATGCCTGCCTGTCTGAGAAGAAACTGTTTCCATGTAAAGCTGCACTGCGACCTTTCTCCCTCACTCACTCATTTCATCTCCGCGGCGTGCAGGCGGCACTGGGTTTCTCTCTGTAGAGTCTCCCTTACTCCCTCTCTCTCCCCTGAGGGATTTGCCACTGATGATTCAAACACGAGTTTTGGGCAGTGTAGAGTAGCGCTTGTTGTTTGTCATTTCTCTGATCACAAATGCAGACATGGTTTTATGTTTACTCGGCACGATGCAACGCAACGCGTAAAAAGACAGTATAAGTCATTATAATCCGTAATTATGTCCCCACTGGATGCAACAAATGCCTCGTTTATAATGGGTTTGAATGTTTTTGTCTTGTCGCTCTGGCCGGGACTCGGCATCACAATATGGTGAGGGGCGTAACATTTCCGTCTCACGCTTGATTTATTCGGCCAATCACAATGCACTGGATAGCTGGCCAATCAAAGCACACCTCGCTTTTCAGACCGATGAGCTTTGTAAAAATCTACGCGTTTCAGTAAGGCGGGGCATAGAGGAGAAACAATAATGTACAGTATGTGGAAAATAATGTGTTTTTTTAACCTTAAACCGCATAAACACATTTCATTACACCAAATACATAAAATAATGTTCTTTTTAGCAACATCATATGACCCCTTTAAAAGATCAGATTCGAAAGTGTCACACATGAGATTTATTTTAGTGAATGACTTAAATTTCAACCTGTTTCTCACATAATGTTATCGAATGGCTTCAGAAAAGTTCAAATAAGCTGTATAGAGCACTTTTATTCATACTTTAAAGGCGTGTTTTTGTCATTTGGGGCTTGACACATTCACTATCATTACATAACATTCACTTTCATTACAGTGCCCAAGGCATTATTATTCAGAAATTACATTTTGTGTATTCTACGGAAGAAAGTAAGTCATGCAGTTGGGAGCAATGTGAGGGTGAGTAAATGATGACAGAATTTTAATCTTCGGTGAACTATTCGTTTAATATTTTGTCCCCACGCTGGCATTACACATCATTATTCACTGTTCTTAGACTAATCAACATAAAGTGAATTTTCAGAGGCATAATTATCCAGACAGAACGGCATTTGTGTCGGCTGGTGGGTGGCATGCTGCTCTGATTAAGCGTATGCAGATTGCTGGAAGTCTGTGTTTATGTGTTTGAGTTTGTGTGTGTGTGTGTGTGAGAGAGAGAGAGCTGCATTACACAGGGCTATGATGGAAGAGGTCTGTGTACATTTGAATATTTAATATGCCGGCAATAGATCCACATCTGTGATCTCTTGTGGCAGTATTGTACAACCAACTGTCCTTAAAGTGACTGATGCTAAAGTAGCATTAAACACCTTTTTGTAACTGTAGTTCTATAGGCCTATACAGCTTTCCAACAGTGCTACCTAGTGGTGCAACAATCTATAGGTTTGAGCTGAGTGATTGCTTTTGCAACTAAATAGGATGCTATGAATTTAACATAGGCCATTAATTTCCTCCTGTAAATATCTGCGATGCAGAATTGAAGATGAAGGTTCAAATCTTGCATTATATTTACATTTATGCAGTGCATGCATCATTTAAGCTAAATTTGTATCCGGATGTGTGTTCCCTGAGAATCCGACTCATGACCTTGCTGTTGTTTGTGTCATCCTCCGCCAGCTGAGTTTTAGAAACAGCTGTGGATGCTGTAAATCTGTCTTCCCTTAGTTATTTCCATATATACTCACCTTAACCATGTAGCTAATCCACGGCCATTAACCTGTGGTGCTGTTTGTATTATCTGTTTTCTCTCTGAGAGGAAAGACTGCGTTAATCTTCTCTGAGACAAAGTGATTGAGGGAGCAATGAAGGACTGTGGGAAGAATTATAGTGAGAAGGAAAAGAATTGGAGGGATGGATTTTTTGAACCAGTGTTGATGTCAAAGTGGAATATTGAATCAAACCTGGTTTTTGGACTTGAAGATGTAGGCTTGTAAGCTTTAAGTTTGCAAGGAATGAAGGGGAGACCGAGGAGGGAGCGCAGGGAAGCAGTACATTGTTAGAATGTAGTGTGTGAATTGCTTCAAAGGATAATCTGGGCTTAATGTCTCGGAGTCAAATTAAAACACAAGGGAGAGAGAGAGAGAGAGCGGCTGTGAATCAGGTGCCGTGTCAGGAAGACAACCTGATTCAAGACTGCCTGTCACCTTTGAATGAATGCATTTGTGCACATACATTTGCATGCAAAAAGACATGCTGCGGACAAATCAGAGGATTTTGAGCACAGAGCCAATATGTTTGTGCACAGAAAGAGAAACCGGGCAAAATCAGAAATTCACAAAGAGAGTAGATCCAAATACCCACACATACACACATATGTGCAGTGGCATTCTGCCAATCTTGAGGGCAAACCATGAATTTGTGACTGCATTCGTGAGCATTTCCTTGTATGGAGACAGACAGTGATGCTATTGGTATTTTGAGCTTTTTAGCCCTCTCTTCAGTATTATTCATTTAACCTAGAGCTGTGATTTCATTTACACGTTTTAATTTTTATAATTTATTTGCGTTTTAGTGCATTGGGAATGAGAAAGATGTATTTTAAATAAAATTATTATTATTATTGCTATTATCCCTCATTAAATATTTATTGGTGGGATGCAGTGGATTAAGTTTAAATATTAAATTAATTTTATTCTATTTAAATCCGTGTGATCATTCGTTTTTTGATTTAATATTGAAAGTAGAAAAATTAGAAAACAGCTTGTTTTTTGTTTTTTTGTTTTTTTCGTTCATGGGTGGAAAAATGAATAAACAGCTTGAATATTCTATTTCTACACATGGGCGGGAATTAAACGCCCCTTTCTGCTGATTGGTCAGCCGAAGATCAAACCGTGACATCATCAGTTCTTCTGCAGTATCACGCAGCAGAATAATAGTCCTCCACTGCTGCAGTTGTATGGATTCTTAACGCATTTATTGCAACTACATTTCATCTTTTTTTGTCAAACAAACAGGCTAATGAATAGCTCAACACAACTCATACCTGGGCAGAGTCTAGACAGGGCTTTCTTCTGTGTAGATATAAATTATATTCTTTGCAGCTGTCATAGCCTACCCTGCTCACCCAGGAACCTTTTCTTTCCATTTATCCCCCTTCCTCTCTCTTGGCTTGACTCTCTGTCCCTTTTTTTTTTGGTATCTTCCTCTTTTTCTCACCTTCATTTCTGTTCATTTCGTGTTCCTTTCAGGTTTATATTTCAGTTGTCTTTCAACTGTCCCCTACCCACTGATTTGATTGAGTAATTTTAATCTTTCTTTCTTGTTGCAGCTTATAAGTTCATAGCAGAGTGTTTATTGGTCTATGTGAGCTTGGATACTACTATCGTTTGTAATTCATTCCTGTGATGGCAAAGCTGAATTTTCAGCAGCCATTACTCCAGTCTTCAGTATCACATGATCTTTCAAAAATTATTTTAAAATGCTGATTAGGTGCTCAAGAGACATGTTATCAATATTAAAACATAATTGTGCTGTTTGATAATTTTTGTGGAGACCCTACTGTATCATATTTGATTTGTATTTTTATTTTTTTCTCTCCTCGATTAGGAGTGCTATTAGAGCCAAAAAAGCCTAATCTATTAAATATGATACTCATCAAAAACATAGCAACTTTTTTTTTTTTTTTTGATTTTGCCTAGTTTTAAGAAACCGTTTCATTTAAAAAATATGTCTTTCTGTCTTTTACATTTATAAAGTTACAAAAGATTTCTGTTTCAAATAAATGAACCAAAGAATCCCAGGGGGAAATATATCACGGTTTCTCCACAAGAATATTAAGCAGCACAACTGTTTTAACACTAATAATAGTAATAAATGTTTCTTGAGCACCAAATCAGCATATTATAAAGATTTCTGAAGGATCATGTGAAACTCAAGAATGGCTGCTGAAAAATCAGCTTTGCCATCACATAAATGTCATTTTAAAATAAAATAAACAAATTGTAATATTTCACAATATTACCGCTTTTACTATATTTTTGATCAAATAAAGGCAGTCAGCATAAAAGACAACAATAATAATAATAAAAACATCTCACCGACCCCAAACTTTTAATGGTAGTGTACATGGAATATAGCGTAATTTAGTATAGCCAAATAGAGAGCCTAATTAATTTTTCATAATTGTTATTTCACTGGAGAGCCATTTAAAAGAGAACCTGGAGAGTGAAACAGGAGAGAGAGGAGGAGGAATTTCCTGATTCTTCTAAAAAAAAAGAAAATCAGTTTCCTAGCTAGACCAGCATGAAACTAGCATAAACCAACCTGTGAATTCAATTCAGGCTGGTCTTTTCAGCCATGTTTATTATAAACAGGTGTAAGAGAGAGATGAGTGTGCATTCTAGATGTCAGTATCAGACCGCTGCTCACTAGGAGGGGTGTAGAGCGTGTGATGGAGTGATGAGAGAGGGAGGGAGAGAGAGAGTGAGTGATTGAGTATGTGAGAGAGGAAGGGATGGGTGATGAGTGTGTGCTCACAGTATAAGTGACGTCCCTCCTCCTCAGACAGATTGTCTCTCTCTGCCACTAATGGGATCCTGTTAGGAACCTTTTCTCTCCATTTATCCCACTTCCTCTCTCTTGGCTTGACTCTCTGTCCCTTTTTTTTTTGGTATCTTCCTCTTTTTCTCACCTTCATTTCTGTTCATTTCGTGTTCCTTTCAGGTTTATATTTCAGTTGTCTTTCAACTGTCCCCTACCCACTGATTTGATTGAGTAATTTTAATCTTTCTTTCTTGTTGCAGCTTATAAGTTCATAGCAGAGTGTTTATTGGTCTATGTGAGCTTGGATACTACTATCGTTTGTAATTCATTCCTGTGATGGCAAAGCTGAATTTTCAGCAGCCATTACTCCAGTCTTCAGTATCACATGATCTTTCAAAAATTATTTTAAAATGCTGATTAGGTGCTCAAGAGACATATTGTTATCAATATTAAAACATAATTGTGCTGTTTGATAATTTTTGTGGAGACCCTACTGTATCATATTTGATTTGTATTTTTATTTTTTTCTCTCCTCGATTAGGAGTGCTATTAGAGCCAAAAAAGCCTAATCTATTAAATATGATACTCATCAAAAACATAGCAACTTTTTTTTTTTTTTGATTTTGCCTAGTTTTAAGAAACCGTTTCATTTAAAAAATATGTCTTTCTGTCTTTTTCTGTCTTACAAATAAAATTATGTTGTCATTTATTAACCCTCATGTAACTTGGGACCTGTTTGACTTTCTTTTTTCTGCTAATTCTTTGGACACTTCAGTGACCTACAAGCGAGTTAATCAGCTCTATGAATGACTTCTTGAGGTCTCTTGACCACAATCTAAGATCATTGCCTGTAGTTTTGAGACCCAGGCCAAGATACCAAGTGATGAATCCCAGACCATGTTTATGAGAGTCCTTAAGATGAAGAGTCCAACTCTGATGTGATCTCTGTGAAAGTGGCAGAGATTTGTAGTGACCACAGTGACCTGTTGTCCTCCAGTCAGCACAGTTTCATTCATTTCAGAATTCACTAATTTCAGTCTGTCCTTCGGCTTGTCAGAGGAAACCGATGTGTGCCCCACTGACTCCTTCCAACCGCCACGTGGTCTTGCATTAGGGAGAGAGTGGGCAAGTGTGTATGAATGTGTGTGTGTGTGTGTGTGTGTAGATAAATTAAGTAACAAAAGTGACCGTCGTAATGAGTCAGTCATTTCTGACTTCCTTGAGCCCCAGTCCAGCTACTCTTGCCAAAACCAGCCCATTACTCATTCCTGGTGTGCCAGCTTCACACACAACCCTCCCAGTGCCAGATCCAGATCCCATGACTCGTCACAATACAATAAATTCTGGGCCCTGATCCTGCCATTATCATGGCCAACCTCATCAGAGAACGTGATTGCATTTGAAGAGACTGATAATAATAATGAAAAAAACAGTAATTAAAGTCTGTCAGAATGTGCTATTCTTGGAATACCATACAGTGGCTTGTAGTTCAAATTAAAAGCAAAGTCAATGTCGGCAGGGATGGAGTGTGAGGTTGACATGCCCTGGGCATGGATTATTACAGAAAGCAGCTCAACAAAACTAGCTTGTGGTATAGACAGCTTCATTGATTATAGTCAGAGCGATCCACTTTAATTTACTGCTCACTTCACATTTAAACTGGATGTCAAAGATCCATCGGCACCACATTTTCCACCCTCATAGCAAACTGGCTTATCCACTGTAATTTTACAGTCTTTTCAGGTCATGCAATAGTTGGAGCATATATTGCAAACACAAGCAACAACATCACCAAAAACATATAACGATTTGATTAGGTATTATTATCATAGCAGATGGGTTTCTTTCTTGCTTCGCTCCAAGAACAGTCTATCATGTCATTAAGTTCCATCACATTTTTGCATCTTATAGAAAGTAAATAGATTTTATTTTTTTATTTTCCTGTACATAGATTCTATAGGTTGTGGTTGTGGTATGAGCTGTGATATGTGGTCAGTGTGATAATGTTCAGTTGGGGTGTTCATGTGGGCAGTATGAGAATTTCGGTCTTGTCGTTACGTTTATGTTTCATACTCATGTTTTTGTTTGGTTTACAGGCAGTGGACTATGAGAGCCGTAGCTCCTACTCTTTCTCAGTGGAGGTTCTGAACCCCATCGTGGACCCTCGGTTCCTTCGGCGTGGGCCTTTTAAAGATCGTGCTTCGATCAGAGTGGCCGTGCTGGATGCAGATGAACCCCCTCGTTTCTCACGGACACGTTACAGAATGGATGTGTCTGAGAACTGCCCCCCGGCCTGCACAGTGGGACGGGTCAGTGCCGTGGACCCAGATACGGGGCTCACAAACAACATCAGGTACAGACTGCATTCTTTCACTAAACTGAATGTGTAGTTTAAAGTATTTATCAAAACTTTTATGTTCGGAATAAAATGACTTCATGCACCATCTTGAATGAAAATATTCGCTGAGCTCATGGACCCTTTTCCACATTTTCGGGGTTCTCAGAAGCAGAAGTTATCATAATTTGGTAAACTTCTATAGAGCAGTGTTATTTTAGTATCACTGAGATACTATTATTATTAATATTTTTTAATTAGTTTTTTTCTATATATTTTATATTTTATTTATATCTTTTCTATATTTTTTATTTTATTTATATATAATTATTATATTTTCCATTTTCATTTTAGTCAATGTTTTGGTCATTTTGTTGTGCATTTTTATTTATTTATTTGTTTTTAAACGTGTATATATAGTTCTAATTCATCATTATTTCAGTTTTAGTTATTTTAGTACATCAAATTAAACTAAATTAAAATTAGAAATTGTTTCATTGGCAACTAGCAGAAATAATACTTTTTTAATATTTGATTTTATTTCAGTTAATTTTTTTAATGATTTTAGTTTACTATAATAACCCTGCTATAGTGGTGAATGTAAACTACAACAGATATGTAAGGGATAATGTACATCCAGCCAGTTGTTATCGCAGAATAAACCCCGACACACTGCTTATTACACGGCTTCTTGCCACATAAGTATATAATTAGACACAAAATGTTGAGTTGAAATATTTGATCGCAAAGCTTCCGTTAAGACAACAGTTGCGAGCAAGTGGCAGGTTCAAACTAGATAGTCATTAAGGGATACGGTGCAGTCATACCACTTTTTACACAATTTCACCACATAAATAATTAAGGCAATAAAATATATTGATTTAAGACAAAACTGTTTTAAAATCTTACCAGTTTGTTAGTTCTCTTTTAATCCATTACAGTGTACAAAACAATCGTCGCAAAATGGCAGCAGCTGCGTTTGTATGAAACGAGAGAGCGGGTCCGCGATACCAGGATGACGTAATTAAATAATTGTACACATAATATTGAATCGAGTTTTAAAAACTTATTAGCTAACCAAACGCAAAGCTTCCACCAAGAAAAACTGTTCCTAGCAAGAGTACAATGCCGACTTCAGGTACCCGGATGAGCCTGTGTTATCAGGGGCAAGTTCAAGCTCAAAAATGTTGAGTTGAAATATTTGATCGCAAAGCTTCCGTTAAGACAACAGTTGCGAGCAAGTGGCAGGTTCAAACTAGATAGTCATTAAGGGATACGGTGCAGTCATACCACTTTTTACACAATTTCACCACATAAATAATTAAGGCAATAAAATATATTGATTTAAGACAAAACTGTTTTAAAATCTTACCAGTTTGTTAGTTCTCTTTTAATCCATTACAGTGTACAAAACAATCGTCGCAAAATGGCAGCAGCTGCGTTTGTATGAAACGAGAGAGCGGGTCCGCGATACCAGGATGACGTAATTAAATAATTGTACACATAATATTGAATCGAGTTTTAAAAACTTATTAGCTAACCAAACGCAAAGCTTCCACCAAGAAAAACTGTTCCTAGCAAGAGTACAATGCCGACTTCAGGTACCCGGATGAGCCTGTGTTATCAGGGGCAAGTTCAAGCTCAAACCGGTGTGCACCGTTTTGCTACGGTTTCCGTTTTGAACGACATGTTTCCTGGAAACGGTGTGCAACAGGGTTTGAGATACGTTTTCTCTTGTTTGGTGGGTGTGTCAAAAATGTCAGCCCAATCAGCAGCAGCATGTATATAAACCACGCGGTATTAAAGAGACAGCTGCACAATGTAATTAACGTCCAAATAAATTCACAAGAGCAAGTATATTGTTTGCACATGTTTATTTACATTAAAGGCAAAATAACTAAAATAATAGATTATAGATTACTAAAGTATAGATCTGGAACTTCTTTAAGTCTCTCTAAATATCATTTAGTAATTGCAATGTGTTCTGGTCCATATCCTTTCCTTAGGAAGGTGTGCTAGACACTGATTAATGTAACATAAAAATACTATACATATTTATATATTTTGCTATTGTATTATGGAGTGGCACTTTCATAAACTTTTCTATACTCCTCTGATTATATAATGGTAAATATTACAATAACATAGCACAACAACAGTGATCAGCAGGGTGATCACAGGGTGTTCAACGCACCACTGTTTCCGTTTAAAACACGTTTTGCACCGTTTTTTGTCGGCGCTGAACGCAGCCCAGCTTTTACCGGTTGTTATTGAGGGATGTCGCGACTGACCAATCAGAATCAAGTATTCCACAGTCGTGTAATAACAAGGGATAACATACCTCGGAATGTCGCGACTAACCAATCAGAATCAAGTATTCCACAGTCGTGTAATAACAAGGGATAACATACCTCGGAATGTCGCGACTAACCAATCAGAATCAAGTATTCCACAGAGCCGTGTAATAAATGTATATGTGTGTGTGTGTGTGTGTGTGTATTTCAAAAGAAAAAGTCCACACACCATTTCCACATATGGCTTTCCAAAAAAATGACAAAATGTTAAGAGATGGATCTCATTGGTCAGTGGAGAGAAACACTCACACAGCAGCGTTAACTAATTAATCAATGCTAATGTAATAAATCACAAAGTATAGTGTCTTAAATGTACATTACAATTAAAAAAAAATGTAAATTAAAAAAAACTGCTAAATTCACAGTTATTAACAGTGGAAATACATGCTGCTTTAGAATTTGGCTCTAGAGAGGAATCTAAAAAGGCAGCATAATTTTGCTGCCTGTTGTTTGGAACAGCCTTCGCATCAGGAACGTGCCTGGGATGCTTAAAGCAGCCGTCTGGGTAGGCAGCTTATTAGGTTTTGGAACAGAGCCATGTTGCCATTAATTAATTATGGTTGTATGCTATTCTGTGTCTTATGTTAAAACACTTCAAAACATTATCACAGAGATTAGGGTATTCTTGTTACAAGGCGTGTTTCCACATGGAATGATCAATATTCATCCCAGTGAGCTATAGTTATTTTAACAGTAGTTAGGGATCTGAGGATTCTTACTTTGCCAATCACGGCTCTTTTGTTTTCCGCTCCTTGGCTTAAAGCAGCTCCTGAATGACAGATTTTCTGATGAGCTGGGGCTTCATGCATCTGCTCACCTCTTGTGTTCTCCCTCTCCATTTGTCTTTTTTATCTTCTGTCTCCCTCAGGTTCTCCATCGATCCTCAGTCTGACCCAGAAGCTCTGTTCCGCATCACTCCAGACACCGGACTCATCACTACGGTGACCGAGCTGGACCGTGAGCACGAGCAGTGGCACAATATAACCATCATTGCCACACAGAGAGGTACATACACAGAGTCACACTTTTAGGGAAGTAGTGATCTATATCACAAGCTACAAATAAAAGTAGCTAACTATATGGAAGCTAAATAATAATATAATTAATATAATTGGATGAATATCCATATATAGTTTTCCAGTTATATAATTTAATCAGAGCTCAGAAGTTTCTGAATCATTGAATGAGTATGTTTTGATTAGGGTGAGAGTATTATCACATAGTTTAATACAATAACAAAAATAGAATATAGCTAAATATTACTATAATATTGCTAAATGTATCTAAATTAGATATATTCTATAGAATATATCTAAATAGATCTAACAAAAAGGGCAGTGACTTCTGCACATCAGTTTTATTTTAGTATTTTTATATACTATTTTAGTATTTATTAATATTTAGAATTCGAGTTTCTTTTCAGGTTTCCTTTTAATTGTAGTTTTTGTAATTTTGTCTCTTTTTAATATTCTATGTAGCTTTAATTTGCTTTCAGTTTGATTCAGTTAATTGCCAAGGCAACATTTCATAATTTTAATTTGAATGTTTTTTGTCTAATATTTACGTTTCATTTTATTTCATTTAACAAAATTTTTTTTTAGTTAACACTAACAACACTGCTGCACACAGGCATGAATCAGTGAATCATTTCTTTTTGAAACGGTTTATTTGGATAGTGGAAATGAACCCGTTTGAAAAGAAACAAATCATCAAATCATGTCTTTGTGCAGAAATCACTGCCTCTTTTTATTGAGAAATAATTTCATATATTTAAGTATTTTACATATGCTTAAGTTTAAATCACTAAAATGAAAACTCAGACTTTCCAACGTTGTTACATTTAAGAGAGAATACAGTTCAGGAGAGCACGTTAGATTAATGCCTCAGTTTGCTCGGCTGTGTGCACAATATAATGTGACATTAAAAACAGTTATTTGTCACGCTACACCCACAGCGTGTTTCAAAAGTAGCTTGTTACTGGAAAAGCTGCACTATTTTGAAAATTGCAGAGCTACTGTCACTACTGGAAAATGTTAGCATTGCAATTTATAGTTCATAACTCCCTAAGGTACACTGACTTGGACATCAGCAGTATGGCATTCTGATCATTATGTCGAGGATGCTTAATACTGGTTGAAAATGTTCATGCCCCCATGTCTACTAGTAAATATAGTGATGCTAACAAGTTCAAATTCAGTTTGCAACATTGCTGATCACAACCTTTACATCAAGTCCTCTTCTCTCGAAACTGTCTAGTTTATAAGGTTGCAATATCAATGGCTAAAATGTAATGGATTTGTGTTTTTTATTATTTATTTATTATGTATGCATGGATTAAATGCTTTAAACATACATTGAATTTGTACTGCTCAGGGGAGATGGCATGTTACTAGAGAATCTATGGTGCTGTGTTACAGTATGGAAAGTAGGTCTAAGCAGCTTCAGGGAGGCCTGATGGCTATTGTAGGCGAAGCCTTTTCCCAGTAATGTGAAGCAGTGGGCACTAATCCACAACATCATGTCACAGCTCTATGTGTATGTGTGGATCCAGTCCAAAACATTTGTGTGAAAACAGTCCAAACCACAGGCAAGTGTGTGGGACTGAATTATAATGAGAGAGACAGAATGCTTCAATTTCTCTTTAGGCTCACACCAGTCCATTAAATTTGTTTTCCAGTGCAACCTAAACTGTACCAATATGCCAACTGAAAACTATTCTGAATTAAAAGCTCCTGAAAGCTATTTGTTTGTCACGACAAGCCATTCGTCTAGAATATGAAGAGAGGCTGTTGAAATCTTTGCGAAACTCTCTTTTACAAAACCTAGTGAGGTGCCATGCTACTGCTACCTAGCATTCTGACCATTTGCCCATCAGGGGAAGTAGATAATTGCACTAAAATCTACATGGGAAAAAGTACAGTAGTCTGCTATATTGTAACTACTTGAAATGTTTTCATGTGTGATGTATTACAGCAAATGCTAGGCAGCTCACTAGGTTTGGGAAAAGAGCATGATTGTGTAAAAAATGTCGCCATTCAGCATATGATTTCTCATTAAAACGTGCACATGGAAGTGTGTGATAAACTTTACAAGAGGACAGTTTACCTTCAGTGGCCGAGACTCAAGGCGAGCATGTCTCAAGCTGTGTTGTGCGTGTGTATTTTTGGTGACATCCTTTTTCTGCTCTCTCAACTTCCTCAGATAACCCCAGCCAGGTGTCTAGGGTGGTGGTTGCTGTAGAAACATTGGATTTAAATGACAATGCACCCGAGTTGGACAGGCAGTACACCACGGCCATGTGTGACTCGGCCTCCAAGGGACAGGTGAGAGAACAAGCCACATGTTATAATGGATGCAAGGAAGGTCATACTTGTCTCCAATGACTAGTTCATTTGTTACTCCACCAGAATGTAAAAGCACAGGAAGTGCTCTAATGAGAGTCCTTTTGTTAAGCTCTGCAATTAGGTAATTGTCACAGATGAATTATGGGTGATTAATTACCTTTTCTCAGATCTTCAGCCCTTTAGACTCACTGACTCACGCTCCAGTCTTTTTTTTTTGTGCACATCTGTGAATGTGTCCATTTATACAGCCTGCACGCTGATTGATTAGTTCTGCCGTTACCCTGCAACTGAATCACTGCTGTTCTCATTTACAGGATGCTTCACGCGTTCTCATCTCCTCTATAGATATACATTATAATTTGCTCATCTTTTGGTCTGTTGGCTTTCCATCCATTTTGCCTCTCATTCCAGTTCTCTCATTCATTTCGAGTGCCTGTCTTGCCATGATTCTGTAGTGTTTTTCCCCCTTGTCTGACTCATGTCTTTTCTTTAACTCTTAATTGGGTGGCATGCAGCTGTGAAGCTGTCATAGCTTGTGTCCTTTCTCCTGTCTTCATCATTCCGCTGTCTACACAGCTTATGGTCAAATGAAAACTTATTGTGATTTCCCCAGTTAGGATTAGTAGGTCTTGGATCAGCATTATTATTAACCTTGTTGGTCCTGGAGCAACATTGGATGGGTTTACATGCACTTTAAGTTTGATATCAGTCTGATTTGTCTGTTCATATTGAATGCAAAAAAGGATGTGGCTTGAAACAATTAAACAAACAACAAATTGCAGCCAATCAGAACGATGTGTCTCATTTTGCAAACTCTTTCACTCGCAACGTGCTGCAGCTGAAGAGCATACAACTAAGAACACATAGTTTGTATTTTAATGATTCAGTGGTGCTTTATCAGTGGGATTTGTACATTTTTAAATTGTTTTCTATTTTAGCATATTTTAAAATGTATTCCTGTGACAGCTGTATTTTAAGCAGCCATTTCTTCAATCATCAGTGTCACGTGATTCTTCAGAAATCATTCTAATATGTTGATTTGGGGTTATTATTATCAATGTTGAAAATTTGAAATAGAAATATTTTGCAACATTATAAACATTTGTACCGTCACATTTGTCATTTTAATGCATCCTTGCTGAACAAAAGCAATTCCTTAAAAAAATCTGACTCCTAAACTTTTTAACGATATTGTATATTTAGTGTAAATTTCAATGTGAGTGGTGCAACTAGATACAATGTAGCAGACCTATCAACCAAATGACCAACAAACTGTTGTCTTACTGGTTGCTTGTGATTGCAGCTGGTTATGACAAAAACTCTCATTGAGACAGAAGAGGTCCCTTTTTTGATTTATCTTGTTAGGGCACAGTGTAATTTCCTTTGGAGAAAAGGTCTTACTGAATGCTGGAAGGTCTTACTGGAAGCTTGCATAACTTCTTACTGCAAGTCACATTATGGAGAGGAAAGTTTGGTGACCCACTATGAAAACTACTAATGTGACTTGACATTATCACCGTGCAGCTCTGAAATCACAGACAAAAAAAACTTTTTTAATGCCTCAGCAGAACTGCCTAACCCACAGCTCTGATCTGCATCAAACGGCCCATTTTTGTTTGAACTTTTTCCCTAATGTGTGGGGGGAGCATTGCAAAAACAGACCCATCAAGTGATTATTTGTAGTTTAAGTGGATCTCTGGAGTCGGCGCCTCATTTTTAGAGCACATGCTAAAGCTGTGTCTATGTTTGGGTGTTCCCCAAGGCTCGCTACTCGGTCAGAGTTAATTATTGTTTGACTGCGCGGTGTGGGCTAATCAGTCTCTAGCTACCTATTTGCAAAGGTGCTCGTGAGGTTAATGCTGATATCTGAGATTAAAATGTATTACAGTAATACAGTATTTATACTGAAGTCATCTGAGATAAGATAAAATGGCGTCAATTGTGTTTATATCAAATGAGATGGCAAGTCCATGAAAGTAGTGCCTGTTTAGGTCACTTGGATGAACGCTCTTATATACAACATTGTCATTGACGACGGTGAATATTAGGAAACCGTTAGACCACTGGATGCAACGATTGATTGTCGTTTTTTTTTTTTATGAATCTCTCCTCTCTCTCTCCATTATTCTTTTGCTCTCCTTCTCTTTCTCCCCTTCCTCCCTTTTGGCTCTGCCCCTTATTTTGTTTTTCTCTCTCCATCTTTCTCCTATCTCATTTTCTCAGGTGGTGCAGGTGTTGCGGGCGATTGATAGAGACGAGGGAGGAAATGACAGCACCGTCCATTTCAACATCCCTCCGGACTCCAACATTGCCCTCAACTTCAGCATCAGGGAGAGTGGAGGTTTGCAGTCTCTTCCACAATTTGTTTCTCCCACCCAGCCATGAGCATCGGCATCTCTCTTGATCCGTTAGTCTGTGTCTGCAACCGCATTGTGTGGCTGCTTTGTGCCTTGTTCCTTTGTTTTCCCTATTGTTTGCTTTTGCTTCTCTGCCACATCTATCTTCTCCCGGCACACACAGACAAAATGTGCTCTGGCATTCATGCTGCATTTGGACTCACTGGTCTGTACAAATGTTATACGAGCAGCAATGGAATTAAACTGCACTCGATTGAGTTCAATTAAATTAAAGTTCCATCGAGTTCAATTTGATCTAAAAGCCCCCCTTTTTTCCTGTGTATCTCCATTTCTTTGCTATTATTCTAATTTTCTAGGCCCCACTGCTAGTTTGGTGTTGGCGTCACCTTTGCAGACACTGTCTCGCTCTACTTCATCCTCCCTCACTCTCTACGTCCCGCTGGTCCTGAGGGACGGGGTCTCTGGCTTGACCAGCACGGGGACAGTCACAGTGTCCGTATGTCCCTGTCTGAGGGGAGGCGCCCGGGCCGGAGAGAAAGAGAAGCAAAGTGAGGCAGAGTGGGACAGAGAGACGGTTTGTTTGCCCCAGCACTCCTCTTTGCCCTCCCCTGGACTCAGCACTGCCGCCCTGCTGGCCATTTTAGCCTGTGTGGCCACTCTTTTGGGTAAGTTTAGTGCAATTTCCAAATGGTAATGGTAATTTACAGTCAGAATATCATTATTGCAGTGACAGTGTGATCAGGACCAAGACTCAGAGCTTTTGTTTTGTAATTTTACCTTTATCTGTGTTGTTATTGTTAAATTGAAACTAAAGGTATTAAAATAATCATTGTAATTGAAATAAAATAAAAACTGCAATGAAAATGAGAAATGTTGCTTTGGCAACTAACTGAAATAAAATAAGCTGAAGATCCAAAATTAGTAAAACTAAATAATAAAAAATATATTTAAATAAAAGTTTCAAAATATAAGTAAATACTATATTAGTATAGAAATAATAAAAAAACACTGGCCTCTATAGTAAGAAATCAGTAAAGAAAAATAAATATACCGCTACGGTGTACAAAACAATAGGCTTTGCAACAAGAAGAACACTTTAACAATATTACAGTAATACAGTATTTATACTGAAGTCATCTGAGATAAGATAAAATGGCGGCAATTGTGTTTATATCAAATGAGAGAGCGCAAGTCCATGAAAGTAGTGCCTGTTTAGGTCACTTGGATGAACGCTCTTATATACAACATTGTCATTGACGACGGTGAATATTAGGAAACCGTCAGACCACTGGATGCAACGATTGACCAATCAGAATCAAGAATTCCCTAGAGCTGTGTAATAAATGTGTAATTATGGGGCATCAGTCTGTGTAAGTGTTAGTTTGCCAGCTGCTCTAATGTGTCTATTGAGTACCTGCCTTTCTGTAGCACCATGCAATTTTATTGCAAAAATTTGTCACCCAACACAAACATACACGTCCTCCCTTTTTATAAATGGCATCATAAAACGCTTACTCTTTTTCTCTTCATCTCTCACTGTTTTCTTTCCCTCTTTCTTTCTCTTTTCTTTCTCTAGCTGTCAGTGCTTTGTCTCTGTCCCTGCGCAGGCAGAAAAGGGACTCGCTCTCGCCTTTAGAGGAGGATGATGTAAGAGAGAATATCATCACGTATGATGATGAAGGAGGGGGTGAGGCTGACACAGCTGCGTTTGACATCTACGAGCAGCAATGGAATTAAACTGCACTCGATTGAGTTCAATTAAATTAAAGTTCCATCGAGTTCAATTTGATCTAAAAGCCCCCCTTTTTTCCTGTGTATCTCCATTTCTTTGCTATTATTCTAATTTTCTAGGCCCCACTGCTAGTTTGGTGTTGGCGTCACCTTTGCAGACACTGTCTCGCTCTACTTCATCCTCCCTCACTCTCTACGTCCCGCTGGTCCTGAGGGACGGGGTCTCTGGCTTGACCAGCACGGGGACAGTCACAGTGTCCGTATGTCCCTGTCTGAGGGGAGGAGCCCGGGCCGGAGAGAAAGAGAAGCAAAGTGAGGCAGAGTGGGACAGAGAGACGGTTTGTTTGCCCCAGCACTCCTCTTTGCCCTCCCCTGGACTCAGCACTGCCGCCCTGCTGGCCATTTTAGCCTGTGTGGCCACTCTTTTGGGTAAGTTTAGTGCAATTTCCAAATGGTAATGGTAATTTACAGTCAGAATATCATTATTGCAGTGACAGTGTGATCAGGACCAAGACTCAGAGCTTTTGTTTTGTAATTTTACCTTTATCTGTGTTGTTATTGTTAAATTGAAACTAAAGGTATTAAAATAATCATTGTAATTGAAATAAAATAAAAACTGCAATGAAAATGAGAAATGTTGCTTTGGCAACTAACTGAAATAAAATAAGCTGAAGATCCAAAATTAGTAAAACTAAATAATAAAAAATATATTTAAATAAAAGTTTCAAAATATAAGTAAATACTATATTAGTATAGAAATAATAAAAAAACACTGGCCTCTATAGTAAGAAATCAGTAAAGAAAAATAAATATACCGCTACGGTGTACAAAACAATAGGCTTTGCAACAAGAAGAACACTTTAACAATATTACAGTAATACAGTATTTATACTGAAGTCATCTGAGATAAGATAAAATGGCGGCAATTGTGTTTATATCAAATGAGAGAGCGCAAGTCCATGAAAGTAGTGCCTGTTTAGGTCACTTGGATGAACGCTCTTATATACAACATTGTCATTGACGACGGTGAATATTAGGAAACCGTTAGACCACTGGATGCAACGATTGACCAATCAGAATCAAGAATTCCCTAGAGCTGTGTAATAAATGTAATTGTGGGGCATCATTCTGTGTAAGTGTTAGTTTCCCAGCTGCTCTAATGTGTCTATTGAGTATCTGTCTTTCTGTAGCACCCTGCAATTTTATTACAAAAATTTGTCACCCAGCACAAACACACACGTCCTCCCTTTTTATAAATGGCATCATAAAACGCTTACTCTTTTTCTCTTCATCTCTCACTGTTTTCTTTCCCTCTTTCTTTCTCTTTTCTTTCTCTAGCTGTCAGTGCTTTGTCTCTGTCCCTGCGCAGGCAGAAAAGGGACTCGCTCTCGCCTTTAGAGGAGGATGATGTAAGAGAGAATATCATCACGTATGATGATGAAGGAGGGGGTGAGGCTGACACAGCTGCGTTTGACATCACAGCACTGCAGAGCGCCCCACATAACGCACGCAGGGGGTACCGCACCCTGGACAGCAGGAACATGTGAGTGGTGCTCAGCAGGGCGCATCTGATGAAAGATTACATCGGCTACATCTGTTACATCAACTCATGTTTCCTGCACATTAATAAAGAAGTGCTCAATGCACTTAAAAGGCTAGTTCACCCAGAAATGAATTCTGGCATAATTTACTCATGCTGTTTGAAGTCTGTATGTTTTGTTTTTCATCCCATGGAACACAAAAGGAGATGTTGAACGGAATGTCCTGACTGTTCTTTTCCATACTACACAATTTAAGTTTTAACATTTGAAAATACATTAAGACAGCCATAAATGTTGGTATTGTAATTTTGTAGCTGTACTGTAAAATAAAACTGTTGTTAATATTATTATAATATTTTTCTTAAATAATAATTATTAATAATAATAATAAATAGGATTATTATATTTTATAGTCATATTGATATATAATCACAACATTTTTGGACAAATGCAGCCCTACAAACAAGCACAGCAAACCTGGAGCTGTTTAAGAAACCATTACAATTTTTATCAGAAAAATAACTTTTTTTTTGCTCCAAATTGTGCATCCCTACTTTTAATTCTGCCTTAAATCTTCTGCAAAACCCTTAAAAACCATGAAAATCGTATTTATAGTGATTTATTTTAATAAATTGCAGCCTTTTAGCCACTGTACTTCTTTTGGAATGTAATAATTCCATTGTCTATGATGAATGATGAGTTGATCATTGTTTATTTTATGTTGAAATGTTACAAAGAATTGGTAAGTTTTCACATTTAATTTTCACATTGGTTTTGTTTTTAGAGAAATAAATCAGTTTAATCCGTTTAAATCAAAAGCGCAAATCAAAGGCACACAGCAAACAAAAGCAGAAGTAGGCCTGAAGAGTGTGAGCTCCCAGCAGACCACATCATCTGAAACACCTGTGACTTTATCACATTTATCACATTACCTCTCCTGAGGCTGCACACAAACTCGAGAAAAACATACAGGTAAAACATAATTAAACAATATTACGAAAAAAAAGAAAAAAAAGCAACTATCACAATCTGTCATTTTTCATGACTCATGAAAGCCATGGCAGATGGGAAGATTTCATGTGAATAACCTTAGTATTTTGGTCTGTTTCTAATACAAAGCTATTGTATGTCTTCACAAGATTTGAAATATCCCGCACAAGTCATATGGACTACTTTTGTGGTGCTGCCATTTATTTTCTATTTGATTGTATCTGCATAAAAAAATTCCTTTCATGATAAATTCTGTGTTCCCTCAGACGTTATTCACAACACGGTCAGGACAAGTCTCGGATGTATAGCAGCTGGGCTCAGGCTGGAGCGATGGACCCCGGGCAGTACGCCAGTCAAGGAGCCCCTCTATATGGGCGGTTTTGCTACAGCACCCACACCCTCCCAGTGCTGCGTCGCTCACAGGGCCCCTATGAGCCTGGCATATCTGAGTTGGTTTACCGCTTACCTGGGAATCAACCAGACCATTCTCTAGTCATTCAAAACCAGGCAGCTGTGGTTGGACCTCTGGAGCCCGGGGCTATTTATGTGCCAACAGCAGAGGCCAGTCATGGTTCTAAAGAAGGGACAGCATCTCAGGATGGAGCCACCACATCTGAGGGAGGAACGCCAAGGAAGAATGACTCAAAGGACGATGCAAGCAGTCATGCCCAGCAGAGTCAGAGTCAAAGCCAAGATCTGGATTGGGTAAAACAACATACTTTATTATTTATTTAAGAAGCTTAGAATCACCATGTTCAGAATCACAAAGTTGCTTTTATAGCCAGTATTTGGGGTAAAACCAAAGGGAGCTAATTAAATTGATTTATTTAATTCTCCAGAGACCTTTAAATCATACATTATTGTTTAATAATTAATGGACTTTCAAACAAACAGCAATACTGACAAGGCAATTAGAAAACCTATCGTTGCTTTTGGCTGGATAAGTTAAACAGCTTTAGTAAACCGAATGTGAACACAGAGCCTAATAAAAAAAGAAAGTGTATGGCTAATTTTAATTCAAAGACTCGCTTCTCAGTCACACTCCGACAGCATCGAATCAGTATTAATGTATTATGTCTAATAAACATTCATTGAACTGGAGACTGGGAAACAATTTTGCATTTGATATTGATATTAATTTCACGATTTGTGTTTCTCTGGGACAGTTGTCACACGGAGATCCAGTTTTAACTGAAAAAGCGTGAATTTAAAAAGAAAATTACACTGCAGAAAGCCATGTGTAATTAAAAAATTGTACAATCAAAAATATTGTTGCAAGTTACTTGCTGTCATGGAAATTCATGCATACCATCATGCAGTGATGTGAATTCTAGTGAATTTTAATGTCCGATTTTAAACATATTCACATTGAAATACACAATGCAGACATATGGCGCTTCTTCAGATTACAAAAAGGTAAGAAAGAGATGGTTCTTTAAAGAACCTTTGACTGAATGGTTCTTTGTGGAACCAAAAATGGTTCTTCTATGGCATCGCTTGAAGAACCTTTTGAAGCACCTTTATTTTTAAGAGTGTAGAGTGGGCGGGATTATAGACATGTCGATAAAACATTTTCATTCCATGTCGTCCCATCAAGCTCTTGTGAATCCGCTCCTCGGCTATCAACGAGAGGAACGTCTGTACTTCCTCAACAGACCACGAAACAGCCATTATTTTGTTGTTTAAAAAAAGGTGCGAAACTCGTTCGAAACTGTTGCATTCGTTCAAAAAAATCCTCGCTGGCTGTGCTGATTTAATCTAGCAGGTCTAGTGTCTTGTGTCACAAGTTCAATTAGTGATCAGCAGGATTTACACGTCACATTTTGGTAACGGTACAGCTCGCTTGGAACCTCAGCTGAGGTGGTACTGAAAAAAGTACCAGGTACCAGGTACTGTACACAGTGGAAAACCCTCCAGAAGCGAGCCGAACCATGCAGTGGAAAAGCACCTATATTTACCCACTGAAAGAGACACATTTTTTATTTATTAAAAGTGAGGAGAACACATCCTATGTGTGAAAATATGTTGTTTAGCACATCCCTAGATAGCTGGTAGGTTAGTTTTTGCAAGTTTTTTTTCTCGTAGGTGCAGAACAGGTTGACGATGAAGATGTATTTTCACATATTGTCTCTCTTTCTCCTCATCCTCATTTCACAGTGCAGCATTAGCTCTTTTTAGAGCTCAATTAACCTGGTTCAGCTATTGTCAACTGTTTCTCCCTCTCCATCTGTCTGACTTTGCCACTTCCTCTACTCACTAACACTTTACTGTCTCACTTCATTGTTATCACATTTTTCACTGTTTTCACCTGCTCATTGTGAAATATCTTCTGCTTTCTCTTCCCTTTCTTAACAATCCTCTCTTTCACACACGTCCCTCTGCTGAATAACAGAAGAATAAACTCATCCTTACCTCCCGCTCTAACCCTACTGCTCCTCCCCATCCCCGACAGGTCCAGCCAGACATGGCTCCCCGTGAACGAGAGCTGGTGTTGACCCGTTCTGACTCAGTAGCTGGACCAGGCCCCACCAGCAGTTGGGTGTGTGACTCCGCCACGCTGCCCCGAGCTGGGCGGCACTCCTCGCGGAGCAGTCTTTCCCTAAGTAGGAGCGGCGCTGGACCTGCCGAGTCCAACCATCCTGGGGTGGCGGACGCTCCCAATGGAAGCACAGAAATGCAGTCGGTCAGCAGCAATTACGCCACCATCCTGCAGGGGGAGCAGCAGAGGGACTACTCGGGGACTCTGGGACGGGGCGGGCTGGAGATGGGCAGCGGATTTGTGGTGGGAAGGCCCGAGAGAGAGGCCAGCATTCCACTGAGTGCTGGGATATATCCGGAAGGTGGTGGGTTCATGGGAGACTGGCACGAACGGGTGGGGATAACCGGGTACCCGCTGGGCAGGAGGGATATGACGCCCCAGCTGCTTCCATACCCCGGCCAGGGCCGGGGAGCTTTTGGGGGCATCCTGGGATATGGTGGAGCATGGCCCTCAGCACCTGAGGAGTCCGGAAGAGGAGCGCCCATTGGAGGTGCTCACTCTCTCGCCCTAAGGGTTGGCGAGTTCCTGCGTCTGCGCCTTGCGCAGGTGACCTTCGACCCCTCGCAGCCGCCGTACGACTCGGTGCAGGTGTACGGGCTGGAAGGCACAGGCTCACGTGCCGGGTCCCTCAGCTCCCTGGACAGTGAGGGAGGCAAAGACGCCGAAAAGGAGGTGTGGGGATCAGGTCTGGAGGATTGGGGCCCACAATTCCAGAAATTAGCCCAGCTTTTTAGGGAAAGGGTCAAGGAAAATGGAGAAGATATAGAAGGAGATGTAGAAGCCAGCAAAAAGCACAAAGATATCGAATGGGAAGAGAAGGGTGAGCAGTCTGGAGACGAGGAGCAGGCGAATGTCTGAGAGAGCGAGAAGGAGAGGGGTTGGGTGGGACAGTGATTAAAAGGCAACAAGAGCTGGAATAATGAAAAGTGAAGGGTAAGGAGGGAGAGGCAAAGAGGAAAGGTAATAAGGGAAGACAGGGAAAAATGAACAGAGAGAGAAAAGGCAGTGGAGAGAGTGATTGATGCAATTTGAAGCAATAAGTGCTGAAAAGCTGATGTGTGAGCACAGAGCGGTGCTTCTTTAGCCAGCATTTAACATTCCTTAAGTGTGTTTGGCAGTAAGCGAAAAGCAAAGTTCACTGTATTCCAGATCACATTTAATTACGATAGAGAAAGAACAAGATTTCAACTCGGATTTTTTGTGGCAGCGTGAAAGACAATGGCAACACGGGGGAATGAGAAACACAAGGCCGGAATAACACAGATGAAAAGGTATGGCAACACACGAGGGAATAGAAGAATTAATATTTGTACATGTATTCCAGATCACATTTAATTACGATAGAGAAAGAACAAGATTTCAACTCGGATTTTTGTGGCAGCGTGAAAGACAATGGCACCACGGGGGAATGAGAAACACAAGGCCGGAATAACACAGATGAAAAGGTATGGCAACACACGAGGGAATAGAAAAATTAATATTTGTACGGAAATTGTTTATACATCCACAAAAGCAAAAGATCTGAATTATTCATAAGAAAGCACTGAATATTACAGTAAAGTCCTGAATAAGTGTCTGCACAAAGATTCTCTGTGTTTACACATACACACAGATGAAAACAAACACGCATCAATTTTAAACTCTGCTTGGAAATTCTGCTTTGCGGATGTCTCATTGTCAGGGTTCAAAATGACATTGGCAGGGTTTTGCCAAGAACAGATTGTATACGAAGTTGCTCAAGAAAAAAAAAGATGACAAAATTTAAATGTAATGATGCTAAAATTGTGCAAAACATATGCACAAACAACCATTACTTGTCAAAAAAAAATCCCACATTTAAAAAGTGAAGATTTATGAGAGCTGACAGGTCTGCTTCAGCTAGAATGCACTTTTATACATGATGTTCGCAAATAAATTACAAATGTTGTTGTTGTTGTTGTTTTTTATTGGAGGAAAGCAAAAGATCTGAATTATTCATAAGAAAGCACTGAATATTACAGTAAAGTCCTGAATAAGTGTCTGCACAAAGATTCTCTGTGTTTACACATACACACAGATGAAAACAAACACGCATCAATTTTAAACTCTGCTTGGAAATTCTGCTTTGCGGATGTCTCATTGTCAGGGTTCAAAATGACATTGGCAGGGTTTTGCCAAGAACAGATTGTATACGAAGTTGCTCAAGAAAAAAAAAGATGACAAAATTGAAATGTAATGATGCTAAAATTGTGCAAAACATACGCACAAACAACCATTACTTGTCAAAAAAAATCCCACATTTAAAAAGTGAAGATTTATGAGAGCTGACAGGTCTGCTTCAGCTAGAATGCACTTTTATACATGATGTTCGCAAATAAATTACAAATGTTGTTGTTGTTGTTGTTTTTTATTGGAGGAAAAAAACATGAAAAAGATGTTCTATGTAAATGCATTTAAATGTAAATATCACTGAATGCCATTGTGAAAAGTGACAACAGTACTGTAGTCTTCAAGTAACAAAAAATAATAATAAAATGAAAACTGAGAAGATTATATATAATGCCACTTCGAAATCCACTGGATATAACTGGAAGACACTGGATTGACTGAAGCAGAGTAAACACTGCCACAGTACGATGTCGGATGTGTTGCTCTTCCCGAACGGAACATTTATTTTTACTTGAATTGAATGCAGAAGCTCCAAATAAATATATATATGAAGTCCTTTTTCTGGGATGAGCTCACACTCCTGATTAATCACACTGTCTGTGGCCACGAGGACTCACTGTGACTGGACTGAACCAGAACCACTGTTCCACTGCACAATCATGTGCACCAATACCAGGGCGCCTCATGCAGTACGAACCCACACCTTCCCAAACAACCCAACAAATGTCATTCTTTGTCAAAATGTGAGCCTAAAAAGGTTATATGAAATATTAATGTCTATACTAGTGTATGTTAAGAAGAATTATTAAAGAAAAACAGATCCCCTAGAGCTGATTTGATTAGGAATAAAAGCCCATTCACACCAAGAACGATAGCTTTAATGATAATTACATAATTAGCGTGCACACACTAACACACATTCATCTGCAGCTCTTAAAGCAGGATTGATTCCGATTGGCTGTTTTTAACGGAAAAATAAATAGTTCTAAAAGTGATTCCAATGCTATCGCTCCTCTGTGCCGTTATCGTTATGGCATGGACTTCCCTATTCTTATAGAAATGGAACGCTTAACATTATCGAAATAGTTATCGTTCTTGGTGTAAATGGGTCTTAACATTTTAAAGAATTGAGTCCTTCTTGTGTCATTGCCTATTTTTTTCAGGTAGATTAGGTAAATTGTAATCTGGGTGTGGAGTTACTGCATTCATCCTTTGGTTTCTGCCTTCTTATTGGACTGCATTGATGTGGCCCCGAGTGGGCCCTGTTGGTACTGAGGTCTCACAATGGTGTGAACTAAAAATGTATTTATTCTGTTGTATTTTTTTTCCTTTTCTTTTTTGTAAATTTGAATAAAGACAGTATGTTTTGAGGTGATGTTTGTGCGACCTGATGTGTATATGCGCGTGTTTTTTTTTGTTTTTTTTTAAGAAAAACTCTTAACTGAATTGACTTTTGGCACTTGCGTGTGTCTTCTAGTCCTTGTTTGTCTGTGCTGAGTAAATGAAAGTGCTGGCTTTGGAGATGTCCATAGAGGCTCTTCAAACAGGGACAGAGTTGGCAGGGAGTAAACACAATGTCTAGTCCACTTACTCCCAAGCTGTTTTGACAGACTTACAACTAAAGGTCAATAATGGAAACTGAGAGTTCAGATCGCACTTTAAGACAGACAAAAGTTTACCGCAAGGTTCACCTTGAAATTCGCTCTATCTGAAGTCTGGATTACATAAAATAAGTGGGATTTATTAATGGGCCTGACAAGCCTTAGTTCATCTGATGAAAGTGGGGAAAATAAGGTTGTTTCAAACCACTGCACCTGCGAGTCAAGCCTGCTTATCGTTCACTTCAATCCTGCAATATGTGTGTGTGATTGTGTTTCAGTTAGCGTATACCTCAAGTGCCTGCAAATAAACAAGCCAAACACTGCCATCTTTTTGATTCGAGGCTGGTTAATTATTCATGAGCTCGGCATATCCTGTTAGATTAAATTTGGTTTAATTATATTCGCGATGCTTGACTAGGAAATAGTAGACTAGAATGAGAGAGACAAAGAGAGTGTAATTGCTTCAAAATTCACTTAGATCAGGAGAGGGATTCAAAATGATTTGCGGAGAGGGATGAATGCACGCTCTGTCCTTGAGTTATATAATGAATTGGTGCGCAGGTTATTACGCAATGCGCAGTATATCAACATCTTTTGTTGATCCTGGATCAACATTACTGTCCAAAAATTTAGACTAAACCCAATCCCTACCCCTAAACCTAACCCTACCCATAATTTATTCCTAAAATCAGTGTGAAATGATAGCTGATTAACAAGGGTGTAGAAGCACCTAACCCTGATTGTAAGCCTAAAACAGACATTTCCTGAAAAAGTATCACTCAATTCTGATTGGTTAATTGGAATGTTAAACAAGGATGTTGATCCAGGAACATGTACTTGGTGAAATCACACTCACCAGCTTCTGGGCATGTTTCGTGAAGCAGTGATACCACAGATGGGTTATTTCTAAAAGTAGTGTCAGAGGATTTCGTTTTTTTCATAGACAGGAAAACATTTCTCACAGAACACATGGAGCACAGAAGTGTGCCTTCAATGATAAGAACAAAAAATAATTTACCATAAATACATTAATTCACTGCAAAATTAATTTGGTGAATTGCCCTACAATCCTGCACGACTCAGAATGGAACTATAGATACAGCGTGCAGCTCAACCACAAGACATCTGGAAGAGGTCTGCTAACTTTAAGTACTTCTCGGTTTTGCTCTGGGACACCAAAATGCCCACCAACCTTAGACCGCTAAATACTTGGCCCGCTGAGGCAGTGGATTGAAAGGGACAGCAAAAATGTACTTCCTGCAGGCCTTAAAGGGGTCATATGATGCTTTTTTAAAGATCATTATTTTGTGTATTTGGTGTAACAGAATTTGTTGACATGCTTTAATGTTCAAAAAACACATTCTTTTTCAAATACTGTACATTATTGTAGGTCTTCTATGCCCCACCTCTCTCAAATGCTTTGTTTTCTACAAAGTCCCTCCTTCCGACAAGCACAGTCTGCTCTGATTGGCCAGCTGACCCAGTGCATTGTGATTGGCCGAACACCGCAAGCACTCGTCAGAAATGTAACGCCCCTTACCATAATCGCCAGCTTCATCTTTCAAAATAAATGTAAAGACAGAGCCCGAAAGGACAGACACATTGATGAAGCTGGTATGTGTTTGTGATGTGATACAATTTAGGTCATAAAAATAAAGCTATAAGGCAAAGGTTCCAGCATTTTAATTTGGAATAATCTCTAGAACCCTGATCCGGCTTGGATTATAAACACAGTCTTCTTCTAATCCACTGGATACCATTCCACAGTTCGCAGGGACCCAAGCAGTGTCATAACCATGCTGATGCCAGGTTTTCTGTAAAGGATGACCCTGATAATCAATCTTTTTCACTTTTCCCACTTTAACACTTAGCTTGAGGATGGCGAGCTGCTGTCCTCCAGCATTCAAAGGGTAACGAGAAGCTTTCTCTTTACTCCGACTCACGTAGACTCCTGGTCCAAGCATGCCATCAGAAGAGCATCTGAATCCTTCATGTAGGATCTTCTGTGCGTTTACCATTGTAGTGCCATGATACATGATGTATATTCGCCGTCCAGGATATTGCTGTATTCCATTGCCATAATCGTCCCCCATCACATTCACAGTAACCAAGGCACTTAGAAAAGTTTTCCTATTTTTGATAATTAGTGAATAACCAAAAAGAGTAATTAAATGTGAATGGAAAAATGCTGTTCAGACCAGAAAACTCTGCATCAAACTCAGTTATTTGCATCATTTTAAAATTGTCATTTAATTTAGCTGAAATTAATCAAATGTATTTACTTTTAATGCAACCTACCTACTTGTGAGTCTTTTGGCACCAAAAGTCTCTAGAAAAAGAGGAACTCTTCTTTAGAGAACTTCAGTTACAACTTTTAATTCATAATTTGGGCGGATCCAAAAGGGTGGGTGGGTTACAGATGTGGTATACTCTAAGACACCACATTTCTTGTCAATGCTGTTTAGTTTGTGGTATGAGCAATCACGGCTGTATGTATGTAATCATTA